GCGCCGCTCGACTCAATTGTTCGTTCGTCGTGACGTCATACATCGGTAAATCGAGCGCCTTTAGCGTCTCCGTCCACGTTTTTTTTTTTTTTTATGTTTCCTACCACTACCACCTCCGTATTTTTTGTACGGTGCGAGGTACAGTCCGCGACCCTCCATCCTTCGATTGTGACGTTGAAGCTCCTCTAACTGGCGTCGCGCGGCTTTATTGTCGTTCACGGCCTTCGCTACACCAGCGGCTCCACCAATCAAAGACCCAAGGACCCCTAGTATCGGCAGAATGGGCAACAAGCCTCCGCGTTTCGCCGTTGGCAATACTCTTTTCCTCCTCTTCCTTCCTCTCTTCTTTTTCATACCCATTCCCAATTTCGTTTTTACCTTCATAGCACCCCATACAGCGGTCGCCGCGGCTCTCTCACCAAGGGTCGCGTTTCTCGCTGTGATACGATCGCGCGCTTTCTCAGCGAGGACTCGATCGGCAGCGTGACGATCGACAAGGTTGTTGCTTCGCGAATACGCAATGTCGTGCTCGCGACACGCCGCGTCTAACGGATTCACCCCTCGCTCACCGCGCTGCAATCGTTCGTCTAGACGAGTTCCAGGTCCACAAAACTGATAACCGGGCACGTGCAGTTCGAACGGAAGCGCGTTTATCGCTTTGTTCAACAGACCAGCGCCTATACGTTTTGCACGCTTTGACATTGAGCGCAATCCTTCACGAGCGGTGGTGGACCGTCAATGTGTGTGTCTTGCCAGGATTGATTGTAATGCTTGCGACACGCGCGATACCCTTGCACCTCGGGATCGGCTTTCAACGTAACGTCCAGTTTATCCCACAATCGGTCCACGTAGTTGCCAAAGTAGCGTAGCAGAACGTGTTTCGACACGAAACGTAACTGTTCGGGAGACCACTCGAGAATATCGCGCCTGTCCAGCAATGCCAGCAACATCGTGACGACTGTGTGCGAATTGTCGAATCGGCCGTGTATAAATAGAACGACTAACCGACGAACCGGTCCTGTATAAACTAGAGCGAATCGCTGCGCAGGCGCGCAGTACTACGTGTGAACGACACAATGCGATTCGTGTCGCGAGTACCAACGATTGGGGTGCACAATCTTGACCGTAGAACGCGATCGATGTCGGAGGTAGCAGAGAAAACGCGCAGACACGGATCCTTGTTGCCTAACACAATACGCTGCATTATCTGCGGACCATCCAATTGCGGTAAAACTAACGTGTTGATAAGCCTATTGG